TATCCATTTGGTGGCATTACTTGTAAGGAAGTAGTCCTTGAGTATTGCTCATATCAGATTTGGGATTCATCTGATATAAGAAACTCTAAATCTACGGGGAAATCTCTATTAGTCAGAGTGTAAAGTTCCCGGTGTTATAATAGACTTTAACACCACCTTCTTTGACCTTTCTTTGAATAAGAAGAGGATCAATTTAGGATTGAGGACTGCGCTTCAGTTGCTCTTATATTTAATTATTGTAAAGACAATAATTAACCCAAAATCCCTTGACTAAAGCCTTTGTTTAAAGGTCAACTAACTGTAGTCTTTACTTGTTTATTACAAGTAAAGCTCTTACACCCAAGTCTATACCCATTCATACTAGTAGATATTGATCTACACGACTTTGGTAGAAGTTATCAGACCTTCTACAACTTTTTTATTGACTCTACTAGCCTAACAGACGCTAGTAGGCTCACATTTGGGGGCCTCATCAGGGTTTTAGAACCTTTGTTCATTTTTTTTGGAGCGTGTTATAGCTCAGTCTCATTAGTAAACTCAAAAATAAAATAAAAAAACATTTCATTTCATTTATTTGATTGTTTTAATCAACCTTTAATTGCAAAAACTGAGGAAAGCTCAGCATTTTTTGATTTTAGGATAATAACTTGGAGGAAAGAAAGAAATTCTTTCCCCCCCCAAAAAGTCGCAATTTTTTTATTTTTTTAGATATTTTGAGAAAGATGATCAATAGTTGATCCATCTACAAATTAATTACATATAGTTCATTGTTGAATTATATATAATAAAATTAATAGTGTGTTGTGTAATTAGCCAAACACGTGGCTCACATAAATTACATACATATATCATCAGGTGACTCGTGTACAATTACCACAAGTAGTAATTGTACAGAAGCCCCGCGCGTGGTCCGAAAGCCACCACAGTCACGTTGCGGAATTTCGAAATCAACCACCTACCACCCTATCACCGATACCATACAATCGATCGATCGACTGAATTAACCGGTATTTTATCAGACGAGACCTTTTGCTGTGAAGAAAAGCAAAAGTCAGTACGAGTTGCTTTGATTGGAAAATTGAAGAACTCACAAGATCGATCGAATTCACTGGGACTCTCACCGGTGTTGCTTATCGTGCAAGAAGACAGAAGAAAATCAGTACGAGGTAAGATTTTGATCATCCAATCTAAGGAGCTCACAATTTATTAAAGAAGAATAAGTAAACTGATAATTTCATTGATTGATATCTTTCTTTGATATTCTTTCCTGGATTAAGTGTTAATCCGATTGGGACAATCATATTCACAAGAGTAATTAGTGGATAGATGACTGAGTAAGTTGTTTTAGTCAACAATTACCTTCTTCAATCAGTATAAGGAAATAATACTTGTTTTTATTGGGTTATCCCATCTTCTTGTGATTTCATAACTTTAGAATCAATCATCGTTTTGATTGTCACAGGGACATCACCTTGGTCTAAAATCGATTGTCCCTTATTAACTTCAAAACCAATTTCAGCCCTTTTGATCATTATCCCTCAGTATCTGGAAAGATTTCCAGTGAGTAGGTCTATCTATCTACTTTCTTTGTAAGAAATCATCAAAATCGATTTTTTTGTTCAAGTCTTTTGCTGATAAGACTATATCTTGTTCTATTGAGGAGCTTGACTTGAAATTTGACACAGATTATAGTAAACCAATTGACAATTTGATAATAAATCAATCGATTGGAAACTACAATCCTGCAAGTAAGTAAAATAGTAGAATTGCTTTACTCTTTGATAACTGAATATCAAGATTCAGCAAATCAATCACTGACATTGATTTTCTTCTGTGATTTTCTTCATTTTTTACTGTCCTTTATTAATAACCCTGATTAGTAGTGAATCTAGATACAGTTCATCCAGATTTTCCTGCACTGAACCACGATCATCTTGAAGACAAGATCAGGAAAGTCTCACACCTCGATTGAAAGAACAAAGAACTTACAATTTGATCAAGGAGAAATTCAAACATAAGTTGATCAAATCATCATTCTATCCATTCTGTTCTTTTCTTTTTGTATAAGTGTTCATTCGATCAGAAGTCATTTTAATCTACACAAGGCAAAGGGGCGAAACCTTTGAAATTGATTGATTGTTTTTAACAAAAATTGATTGAACTTTTGATTTTGAAAAGCTATCGATCTCATAAAAATTTGTGGAAGTCCTTTTTTGAAGTTCAAACATAGTAATTCACAAAGTAAGCTATTGATTGTGTCTTCAATCATTCTTGATTATTGAAAGATAACAACACTGAAATCCCTTCTTTATTATATTGCCTATCTTGAGACTGCATCCATCCATCGATCAGTAGTTTTAAGGCAAATCAATTAAGCTTTGGGCTCAAAAAGACTGTTTCAAGTACAACTCTTTCAGATTTAGCTTGTCAACTCTAGATTGACCGAGTAATTGTATCTAAAGCAAATTGACTTGATTTTGATTCCAGAAATAAAATAAAATCTGACAAAGAATTTCTTATCGAGTCCATTCTAAGTCAGCCTTTGATTTTCAAAGTAGATTTATTTTTGCTACAATCTTATCACACTATTTTCATTGTATACAAGATAATACATAAGAATAAAGCAAGAACTGTGTGGACATTTCTCTTTTGAACTAATACCTAATTGAAACATCAATATTATTTTTAACACTAATTGATTAACTTGGACCAGTTGTCAAATCTGATATCAAATTTTGTTAGGTTGTTCTTGACTTTGACATTTTTTCTGTTGATTTAAAAATCAGTTCCTTTTCCTTTGTTGAAATCTTTCATTGATTTTATTTGACTAATTTAAAGAATAAGGAAAAAAGATTTGAGCTTCATTCTACAACAATCACCTCAAGTTGAAAAGGTCTCAGTTGTTTCAACCAAGGAAAGATTTCAAAGAAATTTATTCAGTTATTTGAGTTATCTTCCTTTCTCTATCTTGAAATTTAGAAGAGAATTTAAATTTGTTTTAGATTTATTTTCTGGATATTTCATATCTGCTCATTTGTCACAATGGCTGATTGGAATCCACCACCTCATCCTCGCAGCCGTAATGAGCCGGAGCGTTATGGTAACCTCCAGTCAACCAGCACCAGCCGGCCTGGAACCGATGGACCACGGTCAAAGATTGGATCCAGGGCTGGATCAACAGCCAGTAGTAAGCAAAGGGCAAATGAAGGCAGAGGCAAGCTTTCAATTACCACTCAGGCTCTGCAAAAGGACTCAACCAACCTTCCATTGACAGCAGAAGTTGGTAAAATACAACCATCAGTGGCAGGACCTTCCAGCTCAGTAGATGATCCATATGTTCGGTCTGAGAGTGGTCAAATGGGAAGCTCAGCAGCTGAAGACGGCCATGAACCCCCAGCGGAACTCCCATCTGAGGTCACACCAAGGGCATTTGGCTCAATAGTACAACCACAGCTGAGTGAACTCAAGCCAACAGGAATTTCAGGTCTATTACCAGGCTCAAGTGGAAGCAGGCCAAGCGCTGATCCTTTTGAACAGGGGTCATTTCTTACAAAACTTCAGAAGCCAAAGAGGCCTGGAGAAAAAGATTTAGGTACACTGAGTACTCAAGAAAGAGTTATTTTACGTAAGTTCTCAGAAATAACTCAGAGTGAATTCATTTTACCTATGATGACTGAAATAACCAATTATCTTGGACATTTTGAACAACAGATAAATGTTTCTAATGAATTTAATCAGTCCCTTGGGGAATTTTTGGAAGTATTTAATGGTAATTTAGAAGTTTTGGATTCCAATATCAAAGATTTTAGTAATGAATCAGGTTCTAAATTTTCAGAAGTATTGAAAAAAGAATGTCATCTTTTAGAAGTTGTTAATGCACAATACAAAGAACTTTATAAGGTTATCAGGCAAGATAACAAAGATGTTTGTAGTTTAAGCAAAAAGTTTGCTTTGTTTTTGAATAATTTTCCTTCAGAGTCTTTGAACCTGTTTTTAGATAAAAATTCATCCTCTTTATTTTCTTTGAATGATATCAATGAAAATCTTTTAGAATTCAAGAATACTTTGAATGAGTTTCGTGAAAATTGTGAGAGACCACAAGTAGTTGAGCATGATTTAGTTCTGACTACATTATTAAGCAATCTTCATGACAAGTTGTACAACAAACTTGAAAATAAGTTTCATCATACTAACCAACCTAATGATGAAATTAACAAATTAATGAGTTTC